GGCAAAGCAAATCAGAGAAAAAAAGAAGTTGAAAATTCTGGAATCCAAAGAAAAAAATACACAAGGACCCAGGATGCCTCGAACTGCTAAGAAGGCAAGTTCTGTGTCTTTACGGAGAGGTGTGGCCTGTGTTTTTGCAAACTGGATTCTTGTGTAATCATTGCTAAATACAACTTCTCTGCCCATTTGTGGCCACGAGGTTGCACATACTTTGTTTTGTTAGGGTTTATTGACTTGTGAGATTGTTGGAGTCTTTATCTTTTATATTCTCATTATTGTGCCTTTTCTTGGTGACTTTCAGCTTCGAGTTTAGGACTATCACAGATCAAATCATTTTGTAGTTGTACAAATTCAAACTGTAACTTACGATTCATAGTTTAAAGCTATTGGTTAAGGCCGGGCATAGTGGCTCACTGTGGCTCACCTGTAATCCCAGCACTCTAGGAGGCCGAGGCGGGAGAATCATTTGAGCTCAGAAGTTTAAGACCAGCCTGAGCAATAGCAAGACTCCATCTTTATAAAAAGTAGAAAAATTAGCTGGCTGTGGTGATGGCACCTGTAGTCCCAGCTACTCAGGAGGCTGAGGCAGGAGGATTGCTTGAGCCCAGGAGCTGAGGTTGCAGTGGGCTAGGCTGACAAAACTGCATTCTGGCCCAGGTGACAGAATGAGACCCTGTCTCCAAATAAATAAATAAAGCTATTCATTAGCATTTTTTACTCTTTAATTTCTGTATGAGTCAGGATTCTTGCCTTGTGCAGTTTACTGAGCCCCAGCCCAGTCTGACCAGACTCAAAAGGCAGTTTCTTGGCTCCTGAGACTGGTGGGAGGAGAATGGTCCTCGGGGCATCACTGTCTCCAACTCAGTGCTCTTGGGGGAGGCAGGTCAGGCCCAGGTCACGCCCACCCCTGTGGCCATGGCAGGGTCCTCTGATAGCCTCCAGACCACAGGAAGTGGGCAGGAAGGAAGGGACAGTCCCCAGGAAAGAGGACGGTGGACAGGGCAGTTAGAACATGGCAGGACAGGAAAGAAACAACTTGACGTGGGAGACACTCTCAGTTTATAGTCCTGTGTTTGAAAATACTGTTCAGGTGGCGGCAAACCACTGGGTGCGACAGGACAGGCCAGAAATCACAACTTATGGAAGAAGCATATTGTATATTGTCATAATAGATATATTTTCCCTTGAGACTTTTAAAAATAACACTTTATCAGACTAATTCTATTTAAAACAATTATCCGTTTTCCTTGCCAGGTTCAGCGGACAGTCCTGGAGAATGAGATGCGCACTCTTGGTGTTGACATGGACGGCAAGGACGACGTGAGTGTCCTGGGTCGACGCGGGTGGGCGCAGCTTCCTTTACAAACGTGGGGTCTTTTAAAGAAACGAGGACTCGTGTCTCTCCTGAGCAGACTTGTTGGCCCGGGGTCTGGTGTGAGGTGGCGGGTCGGCCATTTGGGGCGTCAGCCACAGGGCCCGGATGGGTTGGGGCGTTGTTGGGCCTGTGTCCGCGCTGCGGGTATGGAAGGTGGTGTTTGCAGACTCGTGTACACGCGTGGCTTCTGACACTGGCCGTCTGTGGGCTGCTGGGCTCAGCGCCCTCCATGTGGCCGTGGTGTCCTTATCTCACAGACAAGGTGACCAAGGGTGAGCCAGCTCATGGGACCCGTCCACAGCTGCACGGCCAGCGTGAGGCTGAGCTGTGGCGTGACCGCAGACCCGTCCTCACACGTGCAGTCTGCGTGACACTGCTTGCCTTCAGAGTTGGGCTTTCTGTCTGACTGTTGTCTCTTTGTGGTCAGATGATAGCCCCAAGGGGGTGGGGGAGGTGATTCTTCACGTCTGAAGGATAAACTGATGCTGCACTAGGACCCTTTGTGAGAGGGGAGTTCTAAGTGTTTTTAAGTGGAGTTAAAGTCATTGTTGCATAAGGCAGCTTGTGTTAAGTGAAGAGTATTTGACCAGTAATTGATGTGAAGTTAACTGTGTATTTTGAAGATCTTTAGCTGGTTATTTGCCAATGGTTCTGAAAACTCCTGGAATACTTTCGTGTCTGTCCCTGAACCGCGGCAGGGCTGGGTCCTGCGCGCCGACCTTTGCTTCTCTGCCTTCCAGGCTCACTACGCAGTCCAGGCAAGAAGGTCTCGGAGCGTCACCCGCAAGAGAAAGCGGGAAGACTCTGTTCCACCCTCTTCCGTGGCCCGGAGTCGGAGTTGCTCTCGAACCCCACGTGACGTTTCTGGTCTTCGCGATGTCAAGGTGAGTCTCTGATGTGTGACGTAAATAAACAATGGTCTTTACCGTTCACTGGATGAGATGAGTGCTTGGGGCAGACACCAGTAGGTGTCATTGGAGGAGCAGGAGCTACGGGCACAGTTATGCCTGGGCCAGGGTTCAGCTGGATGCTGGTCGCTGTCTAGGTGGCCGTTCCCCAATGCTGTCCTTTCTCGGAGGGGCACCAGCAGTCTGCTCTCAGGGCCAGCCAAGGGCCGCCTGAGGAGCCAGCCCAGAGCAGACTGTTTCGGCTGATCATCTGGTGATTCTGCTTTTCGCATTGTGGGAACTTTTTTACCCCAAGCAATAGCTTGGGTCACTTTTTTATCATTTGTAGTATCTTGGCAAAGACTTTGGGTATACACAGTCTCTTTCGCTAAAGTGTGTTTTCATTAAACATAAAAACATTCAGTTTCAGCATTTTAAACATTCAGGTGGAGGAGAAAGTGTTCACAAACTAGATGCCTGCGTTTCTCATTGCGCCGTTGCCACCTGGAAACTGGGCCTCGCCGCAGTCAGTCCTGAGCCTCAGTGTCTTAGTTCGCATAAGAGACAGTCAGGACAGATGGGCTCCGGCCTTCTAGGCTCAGAACTTGTCCTGGACAGTGACGTGTGTCCAGTCTGTGCACAGGAGTCATCGCTCCTGCAGGTCTGGACCCGCGGGAGCCGTGAGCACACCCGCGCGGGGTGTCTTCACCAGACGCGCCAGTGACTGAGGTACAGTGGAGGCTTGGCTTTCGGTAATTACGGTACTTTATGTCTCCCCTCCTGCACAGATGGTGAAGAAGGCCAAGACGATGATGAAGAAAGCGCAGAGGAAGATGAATCGCCTGGGGCGGAAGGGGGAGGCAGACAGGCACGTGTTTGAC